GTCCCTGATAAAATCAGGCAATGAAAGGCGTGTGACTGACTACCCTCCGGGAGTCCTGCTGTAAGATCGGCACAGCGGGCAGAGGGCAGTGTCACCTGAGAAGCAGCGCCTCCCAGGTCGGCGTGAATGTACAAACCCGCCTCTGCCATTCGCTGATCGTCTGACACGAGGCCAGCCACAGATGCCCTGCGCATCTCCATTCTTTCGTCTGTGCGATGTGTGGATCAGCACACACCTCCCTGTGCTCCACTGGGAACGCAGTAACAAACACACATGCCGCAACCCTTTTGACTAGGTGGACGGCAGGCCGTCAGGCAGAAGGTGCGTTAAGACGAACACTGGCGGCATCTGTTTCAAGCACTGGAGGGAGGGGAGATGTTAGCCTTGAAGTTCAAGTATTCTTGCTTTCAGTTTGGAGGTGGACGAGGGAATGATAGCCTACAGTATTCAGAGTCCGGGGACAAATGTAAGCCACAGTGAGACTCCTTCTGGTGTCATGGATGGTCTCTAGTGTTCCTTGTTCTGAGGCTAGGCTAGCAGAGCCTGTGGGTAAGCCCCCTAACTACCCAGTGGCTTGGGTAAGTGTTCCTCCGGCAGTGAGATGCTGCTGATTTGAGGTGGGTGCAACAAAATTTGGAAGCACTGCCTTGATGACATGAAATATACTCAACGTGCATCCTTAAATCCTAGCCCGGGGGTGAAAATTTCTCGTGGGTTAAATAATGTAAATAAAGTGGCATCCTGGTGACTGTCTCAGGCTCACGTTCGTTTTGGTCACCATGAGTCGGTTTTGTAGGGTCGGGGCATGACCAGGTGGGTCTGCGCACCCTTCCCTCCAGCAGCGGGCTGGTCCCCCAGTGTGGTGGCCTGACTGCGGTGCCGCCCGGTGAGTCCTGCCGGTGCCGGCCGGCCCCCTCTGTGGCACAGCTGCAGGTGTTCTGTTCCATCCGCCTGCCCCCTTCACCAGATGTGCGCGAAGACGGAATGGGGAAGTAAGCGCTTTGTGAAGGGTGGCATGCCTTACAGACAGCGCCACTGCTGTGGGCCAGGCCTGGGAACCGGAGAATCACAGAGCAGCGTGGGTGTGGCTGAAAGCCAGGTGGTGAACCTCCGCCACCCAAGCACGTCATTGCTGAGCACCCAGTTCACAGGGTGTTTCTGATGGGACAGAATCGCCTTCACGGAGGTTTACAGTTGGACTTGGCTCCAGCAGAGCTGACCAAACACGGGCATTCATTGTGCAGCCGTGGCTGGATGGGACCCGGAGCCCTTTACCCGCCCCACTGCCCCCCCACTCCTGTCGTCATGCGGTCACCGTGAACACCAGTAAGCAGAACAGTATCTTTGTGGGACACGACCCACTTCTCTAGCAGTCGGGATTTGGAATGGCTACACCGGAACCTGGGTCGTTTTCTCTCTCTGCTGCCCAATGAAGTGGCTTTCAGCAAGGCTCGTGGGTGAAGCCAGGCTCTCCTGCACTGATGGGAGGACCCTGGGGGCGCCAGCGCTCACTGTGGCCTTTCTGGTTGTCTGAAATCGTGCTGCCTACCACAATGCCTTGAGAGAACTGGGCTTACAGAGTGGGATCTTATGCTGTTCGCTGTGTAGCCGCTAGCCCTAGGAAAAGACAATTAAGAAGTGTACCTGCAGTCATAAAGTAGGAATTCAGAATTCCTAGGTGTATAACCTAGATTTAAATGTTTTAATAAACAGAAATGAAGCTGGGGTCAGTTACAGTGCAAAGCGCCACAGGATTCCGTAGGGGACAAAGCCCAACCCCTCGGGAGGGACAGACTCGCTGCTACACAATGTCCTGTCTTTGCTGGCTTGAGTCATTTTTTCCCAAACCCTTAGCTGAAGGTGAGTGTAGCAGGAGATTCCGTATGAAAGGAAAGATGGGGAGAACACTCCTACTGCTTAATTATTTATACAGTAACTCAAAAATATATAGTAAGTGCGCCAGGCAGGCACTGCTGGGCATTGAAAATGTAAAGCCCAAACCGATCCCTGTCCTCCCGAGGCCTGCAGTCAGGGGGGCAGACAGGCGCCACTCAACCCCTCCTGCGTGACTGCGAAGGGGCAGTGGTGACACACCACACGGAGAGATCCGTGTCGCTGGGGGGGACGGGGGCAGGGCTTCGAGCTGGCCGGGGAAGACTTCTCGGAGGAAGTGATGAAGGAGTTAGAATCAACAGGCAGAAAGTAACAAGACCAAAGAAGAAATGCCTCTTCCTATATTCTGCATGTAATTTGCATTCACTTCACCCAACCAGCTCTCACCTGAGGCAGACCTAACTAACGCACAGGTACACGTGCTCCGGCGTAAAGCCGAGCAGCTGCTGCATTTTAGAGATTAGAGAGTAAGTGTGGGCTGGCGCTATGTGTGTGCGCTTGTTATCCAAAACGGCCGAGGTGTGTGTCCCGTTACCACATCCCAGAGGACGGAGACTGTAACTGTGGCCCTTTTTTCTTCCCTGTTAACACCAGAGGTATAACTTACATCACAACACTGCATCGTGTTGATGCTTCAGCGCTCACAACTCCAAGGTGATTTCTGGAACACTCCGTGACACTGGGGACGATTCCTCAACCCTCGGACTTCTTTCCTCCTCTTGGGCTCTGCAGACACTCTCAGCCAGGCTCTGCAGCCAGCAGGGCAGTTAAGTCAAACTGAGTTTATATTCCACCGTAGCGTAGGCCGAGGAAGGACCCCCAACCCACCACCTGCACAAACTTTCTCAGTATCTGTAAGGGAACTGTTGTCACTGATACTGCTTAAAGGCTAGCGCGTTTGCCAAAACCTAGATATCTTATAGAAGTGTTATCTGCAGTAGAGTTATCCAATTCCTGAAATCTTTTTCCAGCTGAAACAAATGATAAGCTTTTTATCCTCATTTCTGAAATCTGATTCACTAAAAAAAAAAGTGGGGAGAATGATGTGAATACAATAAGCTTCTTCATGGCAAGCAATTCCCTGGATGTCTGAGGTCATTAGAAAATCCATGGCTGGTCCCTAAGGTGCATGTAATTTATCCAGCAGGTTTGAGAGAAGGCCCAGATTTTTTCTAAGTGGGATTTTGTCAAATGGCAAATATTGGGGTTTGGGGGAAGGGAAGTCCGGCTTGTAGGAAGATACCAAGGAGATCCAAACTAAAAATTCTACCAATTAGATCTTTACTCACTTGGCAAGGTATTAAGCCTCAACTATGCACCAAGGACAATGTAGTGTAGCAGTTAATAAATGCCACATTTCTGCCTTCATAGAGCTTACAGTCTCGTGGAAAAGGCAGACAGTAAACAGAGAATATATATGGTAGATGGTGATGAAGCCAAGTAAGGGCACTTAGAGCCATGGTAGGGGGGAGGGCTGCTACTCTACACAGGGCACTTAGGGACCTCTCCAGTAGGGTCTTCACAGAAGAGAAACCTGAGGAAAATGAGTGAATCACGTGGGTATCTGTAAGACCATTCCAGATGAGGGGTGGTAAGGCTGCAAGACAGACAATAGGTGGGGAGTTTGAGGAGCACCAGGCAGGCCAGTTTGGCTGGAATGGAGTGATGGGCGGGGGAGGGGATAGTAAATAAGAGAAGAGCAGGTCATGCAGGGTCTTACTCGCTGATACAAGGACTGCCTTGGTTCTGAGTACAGTGGGAGGCATTGGAGGGTGTTTTAAAGGGACCTTTCTGACTGCAGAAAATAGATCATAGGAGATTGGGTGGAAGCAAAGAGACAAGTTAGACAGCAAACTCCAGGTGAGGAGTGTGGGTACCTCAGGAGGGCAGCAGGCGGAGCGCGGTGCTCAGCACATGCATGTGGAAGGGATGGCTGGTCGGAGTCACCCGTGGGTGGGCTCTGGTGCATGAGAGGGAGTCAAGGCTGCTGATTCCACAGCCTGCAAGAGTGGATGTGGCCTTGCTTCGGAAGGGACAAAGAGGACCACAGGAGAAACCGCTGGGTGGTTCAGGCGGGTGGGCAGTGAGAACTGGAAACTGGGAGTTCTGTTTTGGACACTTCAAATGTGAGTCGCCTGTGACATATCCAAGTGGAGATACTAAGTAAGGTATCGGATATAATTCTTTGGAATTTGAAGCTGGAGATAAATTTGGGAGTCGCCGGTGTATAAATGGTATTTTAAGTCATGAGAGAATGAGATCATCTAGGGAGTGGGAAGGAATGGAAACGCAAGAACTCATCCTGCCCTGGCTGGGTGGCTAAGTTGGATGGCGCATCATCCCCATAGGCCAAGGTTGCAGGTTTGAGTCCTGGTCAGGGCACATACAAGAAACCACCAGTGGCCCTGGCTGGTGTGGCTCAGCGGACTGAGAGCTCGCTTGTGAAACAGAGGGCCACCAGCTGGATTCCCAGTCAGGGCACATGCCTGGGTTGCGGGCCGGGTCCCCAGTAGGGGGTGTGCGAGAGGCAACCACACATTGAATTTATCCCCGTCTCTCCTTCCCTTCCCCTCTCTAAAAATTAATAAAATCTAAAACAAACTTTTTAAAATTAAAAAAAAACCTGAGTGCTTGAATAAGTGGAAGGACAAATTGATGTTTCTCTCTCTCCCTTTCTTTCTCTAAAATCAATTTATTGAATTTATATAAAGTCAATTATAAAAAGAATTGATCCTTAGGGCTTTCCAGCATATAGAGACTGGAGACGAAAGCAGGAGCCAGCAAAGAAGACCGAGAAGGGAAAGTCAATGAGGTAGGAGAAGTACAAAGAAAGGTGCCACAGAAACCAAAGAAGAAAATGTTTCTGTAGGGGAGACCCGTCAGCTGGGTGCTTCCTGGGCCAAGAATTCTCTTTCGACTCAAAGAGCTAAGCAGGCACACTCTTAGGAGTCAGCCCTTCCAGTTAGGTTCCTAGGTATGCAGGCAAAAGTGAAGACTACTCTAAAGAACCCAGTGCCGACAGATGTGAGGACGGTGAGGGTCCCTGATCCCCTGGGAGGAGCAGAACTGCAGTAAACGTACGAGGTTCCATGTCGGTGTCATTTCCCTTTATTTACTTACTACTGGTTGTGTGTTCCTTACCAAGTAGTATCTTCTGGGCTCTGGGGGTACAAGATGAACTTGGCACAGAGGGGGAAGAGGGATAATTCCACCTCAACAGCAAGATCACATTATAATCCATTAAAACTGTGCTAGTGAAAAGTGGATATGATAAAAGGAGGTTTTTATTTCTGAGGAAAATACCTATATAAAATGTAGCTCAGGGAGCAACAAAAAAGGTTAATTATCAAAAAGTAAGGATGCAAACTATCCCCATGATCTCCAAGTTTAATGGCACAGAGACCTCCATTCCCGCACAAACGGAAGGCAGCCTGCTTTGGTGCAGAAAGAACTGCTGAGAGAAACAGTGGTGGCCTCTTGTACTCAGCCATCGCACATGCAATCAGTGAGGAACTCGAGAGTACAGATAAGGCACTTTGTTTTTAATTCTTTCCGTTTCTTCAGAATTAGTCAAGGCCCGGGTCCTCTGATACTGTGGAGTCATGTGGCTTCGGCAGGCCGGCCCGGGTGGCCGTCAGAGCGCCACGGTCCTGAGCAGACTCCTTGCTGCGTTCTGCCCACCTGCCCACGTGCACTCTGACTTCTCCGTGAACTTCCCACAGCATGACCAGTGCGGACGGCCTGGGTGGCCTTTGTGCCCGTGGCCACAGCCCAGGTACCCACCTGCGTGGTACAAAGAGGAGAGGGGAAAACACCATCAGAGGGAAGTCAGCAGTTATCGCGGAAATTAAAGCTCCTGGCCACATGCAGAACTCCTGGATGTGGGGACATCTAACACACACCCGGTGCGAGGAATAAGCTGCCGGACGCCTGCCTCTGCGGTCAGGAGGACTCCCAGGACTGGTGACAGCAAACCATCTAAGGTCAGCTGAAGTTCTGAGACAAGGGCTCTTCAACATTGCTACTCAAGGAGATGAACTGGTTTGGATTTTAACTCCGAAATAATCAAAATAAAATAGAAGGTAGAGTAGTGGAAATAAAAAAGAAGGTAGATTCTAAAGTATTTATACCAAAGGGTCAAAAGCTCCACTTAAGGTCTCATTAGAGTAAGGACACAATAGAATAAAAAAACGAAACCAAACAGAACCTAGATCTCTCGCCTGAGCTCACCCACCTCCCCCCAAGAGAAGAGCCAGACCTGGTGCACTGGGTTTAATCATCCACGCCCCCATCCCTGCCTTATTTGGAACTGCTTTAACCTTTTTAAAGGAACAGGATGGGTTAACAATATTTATATTGCCAGGATGCTGGGAAGGGTGGAAACAGGAAACCAAGCATCCAGGGAGAAGCACAGGGCTCCTGGGGTTGGTGAACTGTATCAAAACTAGAAGAGCTCAGAAATTGTAAGCCTGCTGTTTCAATGTTCAGAACACAGAAGCTTTAAACGGAAGTTTTAGAACAGTTGTATTTATATCCACAGTCTATATTCTTTTTTTTTAATGTTCAACCAAGGATCTGATTATTGCTTTTAGAGAAGCATCAATCAGTTGTCTCTCGTATGTGCCCTGATTGGGGATCAAACCCACAATCTTTGGCGCACAGGACGCTCCAACCATCTGAGCCACCCGGCCACAGCCAGGCTAGATTCTTACAAACAAGCCTAAGTCATATTCCAAACCTAGTGTCCGCGCAGTAGCTGACTCCCACTGCTGGAGAAGGTCCCAGCAGGGAAGGACTTTCGAGAGCGACTGGCCCCCCTTACCTGGCATGGTGCCCCCACAGGCACAGCGAGCGGTTTTCTGGCCTCCACTGGAGCAGAATGTGCAGCAGTGAAACACGCCTGGGTGTGAGCGGTGCCTTTTCTTCACGGTCATGGTGAACGGCGAGCCCTTCGGTGTTCAGACCAAGAGCAAAGAACAGCACCTTACGTGTGAGTCAACAGGGACGTGCTGAGCATCACATATGCTAACGGAGTGCAGGGCGCAGGGCCTGCCCTTGGGCAAGCACAGCGGGAGGGAAGCACTAGGGGACAGCAACTAGCTGGGCGCCCCGCTGGATGGGCCCAGATCCAAATGCAGCGGAAGGGTCTGTGCTGCCCTCCCAGCACCCAGACCGCCTGACGCCCTAGTAACCCTAGTGCTTTCTTGTCACCGACTTTGGTCTCGATCTTCTCCGTTCTTTTTTATTTTTTAATCCTCCCCCTCACTGGAGGACATGTGTACTGACTTTAGAGAGAGAGGAGGGGGTGGGAGAGACATCGGTCAGTTGCCTGCTGCACATGCCTCAACCAGGGACTCAGCCCACAACCTAGGTGTGTGCCCCGACTGGGGGTCAAACCGCAGCCTCTGGTGTACAGGATGGTGGCACTCCAACCGAGTCACCCAGCCAGGGCTGCCTTCTCCATTCCCGGGGACCCTCAGGGGTAATGAGCAGGGCGCCACGGCCACAGACTGCGACATCCTGTGGTGCTTGCTCCAGTTTCTCAGCCAAACACCTTCTCCCCGCACACACTGAGCTGCCTGCTTCCCTTCTACCCTTCCCTCCGGGACGTCTCTGTTTGCCCACCCACTTACTCCGGGGCAGTGCAGAGAGTTGCAAGGGAGAGAGTTTAAGAGTGTGGTTTATAATTCTCAAATTAGAAACTCTCCAATTTCTAGCCTGTGTTGGACAACAGATACTCAGTGAGTGCTGATGCGGCCCGGCCCTGTGTGCCGTGCCCGCAAGAGCACAAGGTCAAGAGCCTGGCGCCTTAGAAGCCTTTCAGATGTTAAATCTCTCTGCCTTTAAAGAGTTTACAAACTATTTTTAAAACAACTTGGAGTTCAAAAAATGGGGTCATGTTCTGAGTTCGCTGTGCAGGTACTGTGCATCTTGGCAAGTCTGGTTTCTCGCCCTAACTGGATGGTGACCTCTGTGCCTGAGTGGTCTGGGAGAAAAATGAAGTGGCGCGTGCAGAAACACCTGAGCCGCAGAGGCACACTAGGCAGGCGGGCAGTGAGTGGCAGGTGACCACCGGGCCTCCCGGTGCGCAGACCACCATGTCATGGCTCCGGGTGGTATTTTAGTGTTCCTGTCGGTGCTGATTTCTGTCTGCGGGGACCTCTGACCACTCAAATGTCAGCAGAGAGATTCTGCCAGATGTGCTGAGTGTGGCCCCAATTTTTAAAAATTTGTCGTCTCTAACCAGAAAGTGTAACACTTGTCTGTAGAGGTGGTAGAGTAACCCTGGTAACATATAAGCACACGTGTAAACAGAGTAGAGAATCACACGTGCAGCGGATGGTCAGACAGACAGAGGACCGGGCAGTGAGAAGAGAGGACTTCCGTGTTCCAGGAAGTCCACCTCTGGCCGTAGCCTCGCAAAGCTGAGCATCCCCAGCTAGATCGTATTTCTCGGCTGCGCATTCCTGCCTGCTGGTAGACTGTCCCCTGTGATCGAGGCCTCTTTCCCAAATTAAGAGTTCCAACAAGCCAACTGGGAGAAGGGTAAACTATGAGCATAACTGCCAGGAGGTGAAACAGGACTAGAGTTTTCAGAGTCTCCGGCATCCCCTAGTAAGAATGAGTCACAAAACCTGGGCCATTTTTAACAGGAAGGGAAGTAAGGCCTCCTGTCCGGTCCCTCTATACAGCTGATCCTGTGGGAAAGGTCTCCATGTGCTAGGGCGACAGAACCCACGGGCCAGGGCGAGCTGAGCTCAGGGAAGCACACGCACAGGTCTCACCCACCTGCACGTGCTGCTCCTTGACGCAGACCAACACAGTATAGACGCCGGGTTCCTTGGGGGTGAAGGAAACGCAGTACGTCCCATCCTTGTTGTCTTGCACCATCGTTCTGACGGGACTGGGCGGAGATAAGAGTTCCAAAACGCCGCTCACTCTCACAGCCTGCCTCAAATTGCCCACTATTTCAGGATGTGAGCTATACCATTAAATTTGATCTTAATCTTAAATGTCCCCCAAGCAGGATGCCACTTCTACTTGTCTCAGAAATAATTTCACCACAGAGGGGAGGCGACATAAATGCTAATTCAGTGCGCTGTGTACGGATGAATTCCTTGAAAACTCCATGTCCTCTTCGACTGGCTTCTGCTGTGCCCTCCTGCACTTGGTCCGCCCCTTTCCCTCCTCTAATTCCAGAGCCTCACAACTCAGCTCCCAAGACCATTTAGGAGCTGGATTTTCTTTTTAAACTTTATTTTTAGAAAGAGGGAAAGGGAGCGGGGGAAAGAGGGAGAGAGACATCGATGCGAGGGAGAAACATCGATCGGGTTGCCTTTCCTGTGCAGCCCACAGGGACTGAACCCACCACCCGGGCACGTGCCCTGACTGCGAATCAAACCCGGACCTTTCGCTTTGTGGGATGACGCCCACCCAACGGGGCCACACTGCTCAGGGCGAGGGGGGCTGAATTTTGAGAAGGGCACCATTCAGTCTGATACAGAATATTTTCGGTCTATTCAAAGCTTGGGATGAAGACAGCTGGGGGGCAGATCAGACCTTGGGAAGATAACTGAATAGAGGCCGAAAACCTGCACAAGAAAACACACCTTTCAGTAGCACCACGAGGACGCAGACGGTAATGACCGCAGTGACAAGTCCACCATTGCTAAGGACCTCAGGTTTCCAGTTCCATCGCCGCTTAGGACCCACAACACGACTGGGCAGTACCTACCTGTCCTTCTTATCTTTTGGGACTACGGCGACTTGAATGTTGTCTCCTCCCCTGCCCATGCTCTCCCCCGCCGCATCCTTGCAGAGCAGGGTGAAAGAGGCGGTCTGCTTCTCCCTGGCTCGGTGGAGATCTGCAGGGATAAACAGGCAGTCCTCACCCCCAGGCCACCTGCGGTGACCTCCTCCCCAGATCAGACACCATCCTGCTTTTTCTCTTCAGAGCAAAAGGCTGTGCTTCCTGTTCGTGGGGATCACCGTGTTCCCTTCCTTCTCTCTTCCCATCCTGCCTCCCAGAGCATTCCTCCTGGGAGTCTCTCCTGGTGAGTCTGGTTCTCAGCCAGCAGCAGCTTTTGGATCACAGGATCCTGGCCCTGAAGTTCAGCCCTAAAGAAGCTTTGAAAATACTCAGGATTGGCCTAAGTATTTAGAGAAGAAAACCTCTGGGCCCTGAGGGTGAGGGTGGCTGGTAACCCCAAAACTACCCTCCCTCAGCTATACACACTGCTGGAATAGACTTGGGCTCCATGCTGTGGTAGCTCACTCCAAGGCTGAGGGGATATTCAATAGTAGGGACACAACAGAATACTTAAAAAAATAATGAGATCTCTTGCTTGAGCTGAGGCCCCTCCCAAGCAAAGAGCCGGACCTGGCTCAGTGAGTGCGGCCATCCACTCTCCTATCCCTACAGCCCCTAGTCCAGCAGTCAGACGAGACAGGGCTTCTTAAGGTTAAGCGCCTGCCCAGGGGCCTGTGAACTGCTGTGAGGTCCATGGAGAGGCTCATGAACAGTCTAAGAATCTCCGTACGCCCAAGGAGTGGGTGTTTCTTGGGGAATGATCATTCGCAAAGGGATCTGTGACCTCCAAACAGCCACCAGTTCCCGGGCCAGAGTCGGCAGGGCTCTGGCATACAGCCCTCCTGTCAGGACTGACTACATGTGTTTGAATGACACACTTCCTTTGGAACAGGACTCTGTGGTCAGAGATGCTGTTTCCCCCGCTGGATGAAGTGCCTGCCGTCTTCTTTTCACTGCCAGTGGTATGTGGCTTATGTGAACCGAAAAGGGCACAGGGGAAAGCAAGCCATCATCTCTTTCTCACTCCTCTGAAACTCTCCAGAACTCGACCCAAGCAGCCTGGGGCCTGGCAGGCTCCTCCCCGAGCACTCGGGATTCTGCCCTGCCCTGAAGTCCGTGCTGTTACCTCCCGTGGGCACTGTCTCTGCTCCTTCTCCTGACAGAAACGGCATGGCCCTTGAGTTCTTGGCAGACACTACATTTCCCAACTGGAAAGGCATCAAGCCTTCTGCTAGGGATATTAACTGCACCCTGACCAGGACTAATCACGAAGGGCAAGGGAGGGGGTCACGGTCCTTTAGTAGGGAGCCATGCCTGGCTGGAGGAAGGCCTGGCTGAAAAAGCCACACATCTTTAAACACCGTGTCCCTGTGCACCACCCTCTCGATGCCAGTGGGCATTCCTACCTTCTCCTTGAAGGACACATTTGGCGGGGTCGACCTCTTTGGTATTGATGACCCCAAAAACTTCGTAGCCGCGGCACCGGCCTGCTTTCTCCTGGGGAGAGAAGCAGATCTTATCGTTTACTCTGGGGTGGGCACTGTACTCAACTTGGTTCAGCTTCATGAGCCGCTCCACCACCACCCCCTTGGTGATGAGGATCTCCAGGTCAGAGCCGCAGGTCAGCAAGTGCTCGGTGAACTCCACTCCCGTGCGCATGTCTGCCAGCAGCTGCTCCAGCTGTGCCTTCTGCAGCTGTAGGGAGTTCTCCTTCTGGGCCCGTATGTCTTCCAGCTGCTTCAGCAGCTTGTCCCGATGCTCCTCGATGGCCTTGACGTAGCCCTCAGCGAATGTTCGGACGTCAGCTGCCACGGCCTCCACCCGCTGCTGGAGGGCACTGCTTGTCTCTTTGATCTGTGCCAGGGCGTTCTCCAGGGCCTCCACGTGGGGCTGGGTGTCTTTGAGGAGCTCCCGCACGGAGTCCCCATGCTTGTGGATAACGTTGCTGGTGAAGTCACAGGGATGCTCCCGGTGCTCACCCACCACACAGTCGCGGCACACGGGCCGGTCACACAGCTCACAGAACAGCCTCAGTTCCTCTGCAGGGTGAGCGGGACACAGAATGGCTTTCCCAATCCGGCTGTAGCCTTTCAAGTCTTCCAGGTCCACCATGGTGTGGTAAGTCGTCTTCTTCTGCCGTCTAGGGGCAAACAGAGTCGGGAACAGGAAATCAGGGAACCATTCAAGTTGGGAACTGGTCCAGCAGTGCTGAGAGCATGGGCTCTGAAGTCACACAAACCTGAGTTCAGCTCCTCGCTCTAACCTCTTACTAACTACATGACCCTCCCCGATTCCTGTTCCTCACCTGTGCAGTGGGGAGAGTACAACAGCTGCAGCCTGCTCCTCCAGCAAGGGAGAGGTGAGAGCAAGGTGAAAACCCAGCACCAAGAAACCAACTGGGCCAGACGGCGGCATAGCCGTAAACCCCAGGCGATTGAAAAACAGCTGGCTGGCCCTGACAGGAAGCCTCCCTCAGTTTTTATCTAAGATTTTGGGAAAGCATTTCCTTTGGCCAGCGCCCATGCCACCCAAAGCATCAAGCTAGAATTTTCCTCAACAGGGTTATCAGCATCAGAGTAAAATCAATGGCCAGAATCAAAGTTCTTTTAATTCCCCCTTTCCTGTGGCTCTCTAGAGATTCAGGGGCATCCCTAGGAACCACAGGGACCGTTCCAGCCACTTGAAGCTTCTACGCCTGTCCTGGCACCAGAGGAGAGGCTGGAGAGAAAACAGGGTCAGCTGTTTAGCTGGCAGCAGGGTGGTCACAATTCAATTACTAGTTAAAAATAGAAAGACTGAAGACTACAAACTGGTTCTGTGGGTGAGGCTAGAGAATAAATGGAAGGCCGACTTTACAATCTACTTGAGGCTAATCCTAAAACCTTGGCTATTTTATAGTCTGATGACCTGGAGTGGGGGAGGGGATCAAAAAGGGGCAAATATTCACACAACAAACTCTTCACCAAAATGCCATAAAACACACAACTGGTACCCCAGAGAGCACCTACCAGCCCACCTCACCAAGCTCTGACTCTAGGGTACAAGGCAAAGGCTGAGGTGGGGCCCTGCCAATCAGCACCTTACACTGGGAAGGCAGCATGGATTCGTAGAAAGCAGAGAATGCAGGCAGATCTGGATTTAAAATTCAGTTGTTATATACTACTTACCAGCTGTGGGGCAAATCACATATTGCTGAGCTTTTTTCCTCAATAAATAGGAGTGGAAACAGTGCCTACTTTTCTATAAGAGGTGCAAGGATCAGATGAGATCGAGGCAGGGGCTGTGCTATTCTGTTCATTCTCCTGTTTCTCCAGCACCCAGTACAATTACCCAATATACAAAGGACTGATGATTCAAGGACACTGAATGTGCTTTGCAGACTGAAAAGGACTGTGCAAGCCTTTGACACTGTTATTACTATGTTATTACTATATACAAGGCTGCAGGGGTTACCAACTATTCTAGAATATTTGCTATCACACTGTAGATTGCTCTCTGACCTTCCATGGCATTTGAGAAAGCTTTCTTTTCCATCTGCTCACCAAGGAGGGATTTCTCTGTCTCGACACCCCTTTGCACTCTGCTTTTAAGCCAAACCGAGTTGAAGTATCCCATCTTTACCTATGCGCCTGGCAGCAGAAATGGCAGAGATTGGCTTTGCAGGTCTGACACCTCTTCTCCACTTCCCTGTCGCTGCACAGGTCACACACCAGGCCCTGGCCTTCCCCACGCAGACTCTCCAGCATCACATCATTCATGGCCAGGTGGTCTATGGTTAGAGCCTTCACTCCTCCCACGGGCAGGTCCACCTGAGCATCACATACTGGGCAGAGGATGCCGATCTGCGGCTGCAGGCCGCGTGGCTTGAGTTCCTGGAATATTGACCCCTCAGAGCTTGTGTCAGAGTCTCCCCCTCTGATGTCCACTACTGAGAAGGGCTCCAGCTGCTCCAGACACTTGGTGCAAACTGTGTGCAAACAAGGCAAGAGCCTGGGAGTTTTGAAAAGCCCCATGCACGAAGGGCAGTGCGTCTTGCCTAGGTTCCCAAGGGCAGTCCCACTGGGGAGTTTGCCCACGAAGCCCAGCAGCGGCTTCCTCTTTTCTGACATATTCCCCACGTTTATGCCCAGTATCAGAAATGGCGCTGGACAGTTCTGTAATGAAGTAGGAGATTAAGCCCACCGGAAAAGAAAGTTTCCAAAACTTGAACAGAGACCATGGGGACTCTCTCTTTAGCAAATGAAAGGGCAAAAGGGAAGAGGATTCCTCAAAGGAACCACTCACAGATCTGCTCAGGAGGGTCCCCTCCTTTCCACTGCATCCCATACCAGACACGCCCACGCCCTCCTCCGCCCCACCAAGTCCGCCCCTGAAGCGCTTCCAGGTCTAGGTCTCGAGTTAGTCTTGCGGCCTCCTTCCTGGACCCCTGCAGCCTTCAAGCCCTCCACTGCTACCCCCCCTTCCTGCCCCCCCCTCCCCACTGGACCCACGCCCGACACGCGACAAGCGCCACCCTCGCCCCCCGTGATGAGGTGGGGCGCCTCCCTCTCCTTCCCCCGACCCAGCCCTTCGGGGTTGGGGTCGCAGCGGGGTAGAAGGCTGCGAGCCGCACCGGCTCCTCGGTGGCCACCGCCTTCCCAGGTGTCGACCCAAGGTGCTGAAAGGCTCTGGTCCCTCTTCGCACCAATCCCAGCCCTCTTCTCAAGCAACTCCAATCACCGTCCGAGAGGGGCGGCCTTCGCCGCTGGGGGCCCCGGCCGCCTTCCAGAGTGACACCACCAGCACCCAATAAGCTTTGGAAATCCCACATCTTCGCTCGTCCTCTCAGGCCCGGAGGGGAGAACCAAACTGAGAGCCGGAGGCGGAGCGGCGGGAGGGCTCGGGGCTCAGGGGCGGAACAAAGCCAGGAGGGGATTCAGCAGCATAGCGCAGCCAGCGTCACCACTTTACAGGGATTGTCCTTCTCTTTGTAACTGTGTTGACCAGAGAGCCCAGAGAACCACAAATAAAGTCGCGCCGACGTGCTTCAGGGATGGCCTCCTTTGCGCCCCCGGATTGGGCCCGTGAACCCAGACTGGGCTCTCCCATTGGTGGGTGAGGCTGTCAGTCATCGCAGAGTATTCTGGGAGTTGTAGGATGGAAAGTTTTCCTGTTTCCGTAGGCCTCGGATTCAGAGACGGAAGTTCGTGCTCTGCGAGGGTGTGTTCCTGCTCCGCGTGGGTGTGTCCCTGCGAGTTTCCTCTCGGGGTAGTGTGCCCGCTGCGAAGGCCTCGGCAGCTCGCTAGCCCCTGGCGTTTTCCGGGACTAAGGCCCCCTCAGGCCCGCCCTCGTTCTGAGATCCGTTGAACCCAGGGCCGGCCAGGAGGCCTTCATGAGGCCAGCGCCGGGAGCTCCCGACTCCCTGGGGCTGGAGAAGCCGCTGTTTCACCCACCTGGGCCAGGGGTGCAAATGACCCAAGGGGTGAAGCATTTGTCACCCAGAATTCTAGAGTAATGCATAATAGAAACGGAGCAGCTTTGCCCCGATGTTTTTAGCGGTCAACCCACGGGGGCCCGTGATTGGTCATAATGAGATAGTGGAGGGTGTCAAGGAGGGATAAGCCCTTTGTGGGCTCACTAACTAATTGGGAAGATGAACTCGCTGAGCACCCTTCATTTCGCTGTCTCTCCTTCCAGTGTTCTTGCTGTAGTCTCGTGGTTCGGCGGTGTGGGGGCTTTGCTACACCTGGAATCTGGAACCTGTCTGTATCTCCCAAGATTCTGGAAATGGTAGCACTAGCGCCTCACGCTCCACGGGTCTCGTTATCTCCAGCCGCTTAAGCCTGCCTAGTAGGTTCCCTTTTCTCTCTGCTTGCTTTGTTCATGACCTTCTGTATTTGACTGGTTTCATGGATGTCTTCGTTTTCCGTTTCTACTATAGGCGCAATGCTTAGGCTAAGCTTTAAAAAATACGGAAATCTGAAAAAATGAAACCCAACCTTGTCAGCTCCAAAATATGAAAAAAAAAAAAACCTTACTTACAAAAATTGAAATGTTTAGCTAGTTCCAAAATACATGTAACACGCCAGTGAGTCCGGTGCCACTTACACAGGGTGGGGCAAAAATAGGTTTACAGTTTGTATGAAAAATAATACAATAATAAATAATAATATAAAAATGAACTTTCTCACATTGACAACTGTAAACCTACGTCTCCCTCCACCCTGTATATAAAAAGTACACGTGATTCCCAAAAGTAAGCCTGCCTACCCATGTCTTAAATAGTCCTTACCTGGATTTCTTCAGCTTCTCTTCTCTCCACACCTGCCCTGACTCAGAGCCTGCCTGCCCCAGCCAGTGTGCTGCAGTAGGTCACACAGACAGTGCTGACTCGCGTTTGCTCTATATTCTCGCTCCATACTTCACCTGAGCCCTCCCTGATGGCAGCGATGCTGCTCTTCATCTCTTATTCATGCACTATCCCATTTCCCACGTAGGTGTTCCAAGCTTCTCTTGTTTAAGAAGTGCTTTGTAATTTATATGTGCGTTATCTTGTTTAATCTTTTAACAACTCTGAGAGCAGTCTGGTGGTCAGCCCAAGGTAATATGCCTGATGACCTGAACTCAGTCTTAGGAGGCCCATGGTCCAGATCCCTCCCCAACCACCTCTACCCTTCCTTTCCCAGCTTTTTAAGCATCTCAGCAGGTTTTGTAAAAAAATAATAATAATAAAATAAAATAAATAAAATAAAATAAAATAATTTTTTAAGATAAAGCATCTTAGCCTTTAATTGAGAAAAGCGAAGCTATTTGGAAAACTTCCTTATTTTCATCTTAAAAATCTGATTGATCACCTCTCCTCTCATACCTCTCCTGCCTGCCTTTCTTCTATTTCAAGGGTGGAATAGAAGACCTTTGCCCTTTAATTCCAGCCTCCCCTGCCTCCTTAAGACCTTGCTGCTTCTACATTTTCAATCAATTATTTTTTTAAATGTTTACATTACAGTTTACATTCAATATTAATTTGTATTGGTAGTTTCAGGTGTGCAGCATAGTGGTTAGACAGTCATGCTTTACAAAGTGTTCCCCCTGATATTTCTAGTGCCCAACTGGCACCATACATGTTTATTACAATATTAGTAACTATATTTCCTATTTTGTACTTTACATTCTCATGATTCAATCAGTTCTTCACTAACATGTTCTTCTGCCAAGAATTACAATCAAGTCTTGAAGGGGGATGCAAAGTCCCCCTTGACTCCGCAGCCTTTCCACTTTGTGACTCTCAGCACTAGTTTCTCAGAGTAGCCTCACTCTCTGCTTTCCTCATCATCTTCCCATCGTCATCATCACCACCCACGTAAACTAACTTTTGACTCCTCTTTCCTATTGGAACGTCGCTCATGTAGGTCACGAGTGATTTGGTCACGGGCCTTTTCTCAAAATGCAGTCTCTTTGGTATTCACCATTGTTATGTACTTCTTCATGCTTAAAACGTGCTTCCTCCTTGACTTCTGAAACACTCTACTTTCCTGGCATTCTTACCTCTTGGGCTGCTTCTCACACTCTCCTTCCTCACTGGTTCCCCTTTGTCCACTTTATCCCCTACCTTTTCTCTCTACATTCTCTCTTAGCACAGGTGACTCCCAGGTCCCCACTTTCAGTATTCATCTCTCTCCTAAGCTTTGGTCACAGCCATTTATTATAAATCGCGCCCAAGTGTGTCCCCATCACCTAAGTCCCACATGTCTTAAACTTCATTGACCTTTTTGCTCATGAAACTGCTGCCTGCATTTTATTCTCTTGAAGATACCATTACTCTCCCTTTCCTCCAGCTTGAAACCTTATAGTGTTCCTGGCCTCCTTCCTCTTTTTCCATATCCAGGCAGGTACCGATTTCTTTCCATCCTCACTGCCAACACCTTACCATGTAGAATTTTAGGATGATACAGAACTTGATCATCCTCACCTCAAGTATTACAATAGTCTCTGAAGTATCCTTCCCCTCCATTTTTTTCAATCTATCCTACACAGGTTTTCCAAATTAATTGTAAAACACATGTAAAAACATGGTACAAGTCAGTCTCCATTCTGAAGGCATCAGTAGCTCCTTATCTCCATAGCAGAAAATCTGGATTCCTTAAAAGATCCACAAACTGGCCTGTTAGTTATTCCCTAAGCGTTACTAAGCTTCCTTCTTGGTCTTTGCCAATTTCGTCTGCAGTATTTGTTCATCTTTATTTAAACCTGCCCTTCCTCCTGTGTCAGGTCTGTTTGAAACTTTCCCTGTTACTCCGAGGCTTCAGAGTTGAGCTCCAGTAGCTCTTTGCCTATACCTTTCACTTTTAAGTTTGTGCTATGTTGTGGTAGCAAGTATTTTTATTTATAATGTATGTATATGCATACATGTAGACATGTGTATCTATACATATATAATGATACATGTATATATACACACCATACACACATATATTCTTCATCTCTCTGTTAATATGAAACACTCTTGGCTACCAACCTAGTGCCTTCACGTAGACAGCTAATACAGACTGTTACTGATGAGGCAGGGAATGATGGTCTCAGATGAGGGAAAACAAGCAGAACTACACACAACCAAGGGTTTTGTGGCTCATGCAGAGCAGGAGTGACATGGGGCGAGATCATGGGCGAGGATTAGTTAAGTATTCTCCTTCCCCAGAACAACTTCAGGTTTTTATTCCATCCTCACATACTTCAAATAGTTATAAGAAGTACTAAAGTCGTGGAATCAGAGGAACAGGACTGTTGAAAATGATCAGGTCCATTAAAGTATCTAAAGACTTTCAGCCCGCTTCTGCAGCCCCAAAAGAGCTGAGTACCAAAGGCAAGAAGGCCAGGAAGGCAGAATGACCCATGAGGAAGTCAGGCAACTGAGTGAATATATAGAAAGTGAGCCCGAGAGCGAAGTCAGATTTATCTTTGACCATTACTCCATCACCATCCATCCTTCCTCCTTTCTTATTTCATTTTTTTTTAGTATTTTGAATGTGCTTTTAGAAGATAAGTGAATACTTTAAAAATTTTTTTTTAAATTTATTTTTAGAAAGAGGGGAAGGGAAGGAAAAAGAGGAAGAGAAACATCATGTGTTGGGTTGCCTCTCACACGGCCCCCACTAGGGACCCAACCCGCAACCCAGGCATGTACCCTGACTGGGAATCAAACTGGCAGCCCTTTAGTTCACAGCCCACGCTCAGTCCACTGAGCTACACCAGCCAGGGCCCTCCTTTCTTATTTCAAAGGTAGGAGAATCCTTTCTCCTAAGATCTGTGCTCTGAAGCCCAGCCTCATCTGCATGCTCCTCCTCTGTCTTCATCCTCTTCCCCTCTTGTGGATCTTTTCTTGTAGCTCATAACATGCTTCAGTCTCTCCTTCTACCCTACGCCCCTCTCTAGCTCCTGATTTCTCTCTGCCTCTTAATAATAGTTTTCACTTGCTTCTCTAACTC